TGCCTTGAAAAGCATGTATGTAATTCCATTGTTCACGCGCCTAAACTTTCTTAGCGTTACTTTTACATCGAAATATCTTGTAGATTTTTACAAGCTAAAAATATATCATATATGATATTATATAAATTATTGCTAGATTTATATTTACAAATAATGTACGTAAATCGATACAGGAATCAATCCTGTATGAAATATAGTCGGTAATTTGACTTGTAATTTGAACGTGCTCAGGTAATTCAAAACGTATTAAAATAGAATATGAAGAAGAGAAATTTTAACTATAAAGACATGGGAGAGATGTCTTCAATTTTGAAGAAAAAATCTACATTTAAACATTTTTGAATAATGTCATACATTACCCATTGCGATAACCTAGACCTAGAGAAAGTTGCACACATCGACTCCCCACAAATCTTTCTTGGTCACTCATTATGGTGAAGGGCCGCCTTCGCTTGCCGGTACGAGACTTCCACTCGAAAATTTTTCCTCCCCATCGATTTTCAGTTTTTTGAGCTATAGGGCTTGGTATGGTCCTTTGTTAATTCATTTTACTGATCTTTTAGACAATACCGGTTACTCTAGTTCTATTAAAAAACTCCGGACATAACCCTCTTCATACGAGTAGCTTACTCTGCGATCTTGTGCTTCCTGATTATGCCAGCAGAGAAGGACCACGTCTCAGATCATACGACGTCACTGTCATCACGCACTTGTTTTATTGTGTTTTGAAGTATACACGACGATAAGATGTGCCGTAATCTCTCGAAAGCCACCCAGCCGAGTTGAATCTGTTGATTGACCTCTCGGTTCAACTTACCTAGTCGGACAATTTTTACGTAAATTCTTCATTCATCAACAACTTCGAGCGTACTGTTCCTACGCCTGCTTCCATCTACCGGCGTAAGTACACAATGTAAGGTCATCATTGTCTTGTTATTCATCTTGCGATCCGTCCGTTTGGAGACCCTTTTGAGGTCATTGTCATGTAACTTTAAAACATGTTAACCTTGTTTCTCATTTAAGCACAGCGCGTTTACTTTATCTCTGTAATAATTAAGGATAATACGTACTATTCGAGTAATCCACATATATATATATATATATATACGTATAGTTACAGCGTGGCTCTACCACGTCAAATGACAAACTACTAACATATATATATATATATTATTTATTATAGTAATGTCGATAGAGCCAGCTCGTTTATTATTGCGTTATACAATATACTCGTATATTAATGTTACATGATTTAGGTCTGCGTACAAATCTCAGCTTGAGTTATAGCTTCCGATTAGAAAAAATAACTGGTTTTTGAGACTGGATATGTTTTGTTTATCCGTAACGACGCTTATCTGTTTCATACGTGGTTAACAAGGTTAACTGTTACCAAGGATTAAATTATTTGCTAGTCCTCTTTCTCATCAGTCATCTCTCATGAATCCACTGAATATTTTTCTGTGGAAACTCCTATAACGAGTTGTTAAAATAACTGCTGCTAGTAAAATAAGTGTTGAAAGTAATTGTGGACAAATTACATAATATATACTCATGATACCGACCTTAATGCTGTGTTATCTATAGTTATTCGTTATTATTATTGACAACTCCATGGCGCAGTGGCTTAGCAATGAGTGGCTGCGCTGGGGGTCGCGGGTTCGAATCCCGCACGTAACAAGTACATATGTATATGGTTTACTAACAGTTGTTCCGGGTCTTGATGTTTGTCGTTGTGCAATTTATGTTTGTAACCTGCCACCAAAATACAGGAGAAAATCCTAGTGTAGGGGTAACGTTTTTAAAAAAAAAACAAGACAAGATATTCATTACAGCCAAAGCGTGTTATAAAGAAATTGTTCAATAACGAAAATTTTGCTTTAGGAAGTTCTTTCATAAAGTGATGGTTAGTAGCGAGAAATGGAGACCCTTCTTCTGGTAACGAAACATTTTAGTCCTCAATGATGACACCGCCCCTGCATTTTGATTATTATTTGAGAACTAGCGATCCGCCCTGGCTTTGCACGCGTGATTTCTGCATCTAGACAACAGCGCCACCTACCGGTACCAACTGACCAACCATCCAGGGACTCCAATACACACCAAAAGTTTCATCAAAATCGGTCGAGCCGTTTTTGAATTTTAGCGAGACTAACGGACAGCAATTGGTTTTTAATTTTTATATAATACTGTGGGCAAAAAATATTAAGACTGTTCATAATTTTAAAATTCTTTATTTATTCTCATTGAGCTATTACGTACTACGTACTAGAGGCGACACCGCATACTCTGTTCCACTCAACTGCGGTGCATACACCGCACTTTGATCAGTCACTCGCTAGTCGCTTGTAGAGTTGTCACGTGTTGTGTTGATTTAAAAAAAATCTCTTGATAAAAATATGCCGTCTTGTGTACTAAGATATTGCACAAATAATTGAAGAAATGTCAGTAAAAACCAAGTAATTACTTTTCATCGGTTAATAAGATACTTAATCAATAAAAAAGTATTATAGATTAATAATTTAATATGTTCAGATGCGACATTTCTGTGGGTACTTAAGTGTAGGACGAATATATTATTATACACATTTTTTTGTAGTTAAACATATATAAGTTATATAATTAGGCTAAATTTTTCATGTTTAAATCTGCTTATTATTCTTTTATTTTATTTTTAGGTTTTCACATCAAAGTCAAAGTGGAATAAATTCGTCCATTTTTAACTCTTGCATGCCCAGTATTTATGAACGACTCTTATTCTAATTTAAATAAATATATTTGTAATTTAAATGTTATGTTAATAAGTTTTGTTAAACATATAAGTATGTTTTATTTATATTTGACATAGATACCTTTTAAAATATTCAGATAAAAATATCATTAATATGTAATTGTGATATAATATTATGTAATGTTATATAAAATAAACAAATATAATATACAAAATAAATGACAAAATTTAAATATTGTTCTCGATATAATTTACCTTTTTAACAATATAATGTAACCTACGGGTCATTCTACGTATGTTTGTTCTATGACAAAAAAACCAACCGCGGGAACACAGAGTAGCGCACATTTTTTGTTTGAGACAGCTGTTCTAGTACGTAAGTACATATTACTTCAATGTTTATTCTGCCAAAACAATTTCGTCCCCCTCAAAGTAATCCCCCCCCCCCCCCGGCCGCAATACACTTATGGCAACGTTTTTTCCAATCCTCGTAACAGTTGTTAAGCTAATTTCCGGAATAGCCTTCAATGCGCGTAGCGATTCACGTTTAATGTCTTCAATTGACTCAAAACGGTTTCCCCGGAGCGGTCGCTTGAGTTTGCTGACTAGCCAGAAGTCGCACGGAGCTAAATCAGGCGAATACGGTGGTTGTGGAACGATATTGGTTGAATTTTTTGCGAAAAACTCACGAATAATCAATGCAATATGCGACGGTGCATTAGTGTGGTGCAAAAACCAAGAGTTGTCAGCCCATAATTTCGGCCTCCTTTTACGAATAGCTTCGCGCAAACACTCAAATAGTATTCCTTGTTGACAGTTTGACCGGTCGGAGGAATTCGGAGTGCACCACACCTCGACGATCGAAGAAAACTGTCAACATAACCTTGATTTTTGACTTGCTTCGACGTGGTTTTTACGGCTTCGGCTCAATATAGAGATAAGATGTAAGTGTCTGTGGATCACAGCATCCCCATACATACTACCACTTTGTGTCTATTATCGCATTTACATGTATAAAAGATGATCTTACTTTTTATGGTGTCCTTTTTACCGCCCTCTTGGAACAAGTTTGTTAGCGAAAGTGGACCAATTGTTTAGGATACGCACTGCGAAATCTTAAAAATTGTGGATTCCAATCTGCTAGGTATTTGATCATCACCCCTGAGGACTACTATGGAATGCCTCGTTCCCAGTAAAAAGGATTTCCGGTTCTCCACACTCACCATACGAAACACAGCATCATATTTTAAGCTGGTGTTCTGTGAGAGCACGGTCCCTCCCCGGTCGAGCTGACTCATTGGTGCTACAATCATAATATAACTGCAGCGTGGCTCTACCTCGTAAAATTTATGTTTTTTCCAGTTATTAATATTTTTTGTTTAATAACGTATGTATAATTAATACCACTATACCTCTCAAAATGAGACATATACCATAATTTTGCAAAGTGAAAGTGATAATTAGTACCATTTTTATCTATCTCTATCTAATCTAAAAGTGATAAAACATAATTTATTTTAGTGCGTACCTCATTTTTCATTATAATATCATAAGTAACGTTCACTACCTACTAAGCATCTAATATAATAAGTACCTACATTTTTTTATCTCTCCGTGTTATCATATTCACAATTAATTTAGATACTTCATTTTATTGCTAAAAACATTTTTTTTGTTTAATTTTAATTTAAAGTTCATCTGTTGGAATCTAAGTTATACAATTTTAATTATAAATGCCTATAAAATAGTAGACGTCACTTTTATAATGACAAAAATGAATTTTTGGTCATATAAATACAAAAAAATATTGATAAATTAAAAGCTTGTCTATAGAAACGAGGTTAACGTTTTTAAAAGCAATGTGTTTTAAAAAGCAACAATTTCTTTGTTCTCCCAAATCATGATATAACTATGCATTTTATACGAAATATATAAGAACTTCCAATGCTACTAGTAAGTATATATAGTAAGGTATAATATTCTATAGTTTTTATTATTTCAAATTAACTATAATATATTATATTTAAAATAGCTGTTCTTATTACTGAAACCGTTTAATTTTTCTGCATGTCAGTAAATGTTCCGGTTTTATCTTATTGGTACATACAACGAAATTTATAAACATTTTTAGTATAATGTAAATGTTTATTTCGTTTATTTTCCATAGTTTTAAAATTTTTAAGAAATATAAACGTTAACGTTCAATTATTCCAAAACATTTCTCAAATTAATGAAAAATATATACAAAATTAAAAATTTGAACACAACAAACCTGTCTTCGAAATGGGTTATTATCTTTTGAATAGTAATCCTCTTTCGTCACATCGCCTGCATTTTCAACGGCACTTTGGTTGATTTTCTCTAACTCGGACACTGAGTTCGGGTCCATCTTGGTTCGATCCACTTGTAACACTGCACCGTAACTTGCTCTAAACGTTCGGCAGCCGTGTGTTACTTCAATTAGTGTATTTGATTACGTTTTATCTTATCTCCCATTAATAATATCTCTCTAATACACACACAATGTTAAAAAGCTTGCTTAAGTTTCAATGTCAGAATAATGAACTTGTTGAAAATGCAGGGTCTTATCCATTCTCGAGTGAAATTTGATCAGAAATATTTAAGACAAAAAATGAGTAGATTAGCAAATTAAACAAGTTCATTCTACACAAGCCAAAATAGTTTTAGTAATTTTGATGTAAAAAATACGACTCGGATTGCCAACACGATGAATTTCTACATGACTCGTAAGTTCATTTTTTTAAACTTAAGAATCAAAATCGGTTTGAAGATGATATTATTATTTCAACCCAGTTATGCAATACGAAAAAAATCACTAATGTACGATCGTATAAACATACACGCACACACGCACGCACACAAACAAACATAGTACTCCTTTGAACAATAAAGTAAAACTGTAGGGACCTCTAAAAGTGCAGATTAGATAGAAAGTCTAAGAAAAAAGCCATTACAAGAACTTCTGATTGTTCTTCTGTGTGTGAGACCAATATGTAACCATGTGGGTCTTCAAGCCAAGATTGAATAAAATTTTATGGAACAAAGTTAAATTTAAAAGGTTGGAAAATAGTAACGTGTGCTACATTACTATTTTCATTAGATGAACTGCGTGCTCGCTTGTCACCCTTGTTTGAGAAAAAAGAAACACTTATCAACTTCATCCTGTGGGATAACAGTCAATCACTTGCTAATAATAGTTAAAAGAAATTAAAGGCCTGTTAAGGGACTGATGAAAAGGAAGCATTATTTCATAATTTATCTTTGTGATTTTTAAGACTAATAAACTACGAGCTATTTCGTTTGAGTAACGCCGATAGCAGTTTGTCAGACAAAGAGTATTTGCCTACATCCTTATCGCTAAACAAATTCGTGAATGTACTTACACCTGACAACTCATCGGTGACAAATTGTATGTAATTACTCTGAGTGACAATTAAAATGGTTGACAAGGGTTAACATGACTATAACAATCCAGATGCCTAATTAATGAAATATAATACTAAACGACTAAATAATACGGAACAAAATCGCTTAAACACGTCTGTGTATTTGCTTAAGGGCCTGTTCAGAGGACAAAATACAATATAAAAAAATAATATAATTATTACAGTTGCAAATTATAAATACAATAAAATTATTACAGTTGCTAGAATAAAATTTCTGAAAAACTGTTCCACTTTTATATTCAATTAGGTTATAATTTGTTTGATGGGTAACTTTTATGTGAAAATTCAAAAATCAACAATAAAACTTTAAAACTACTTGATATTTGATGGATTTCTCTATGCGTTCAACAAGAATGAGTAGAATGAGAGTAGAACGACTAATTTAATTTTATATAACGTTATATACCTCAAAATATTTAATATCTCCAAATTTTCGAACGCATTGCATATTATTTAAATAAACTTATTGCTCCAATCAGCCATATATTACTATCGTGACCAGATTATGTGGGAGAAATAAACAACAAATAAATAAATATCAGTTTAGTGGCACATTTGAAAAACATGTTTACATAAACTAAGTAATTAATCTTAATTAGATTTAGGCAATCGGAGGTGACTCAGCTTATGCTTACATGGGACTAAGATTCCATGAAGCGCTGGTTTTCAGGTACTTCTTCCTCCCTGAGATGATACGTGGGTGTCGTGAGAATTGCGAGTTTCCCAATCACCTCTATCAATCACTCATCTTGGTAAATATAAACGGTATTTTGTTTTTGTTATTACTATAGTTTTATACGTCCAATAAATATTTATCGACCTGAAACACCCATATTTTATTAAAGAGCTTAATTAGCATATTATAAACAGGTGAACAAATGAAACGTGTTGATAATATTAGTTTGATCAAAAAATAGAAAGTATATCAGCGAAAGTAGGTTATAGTGAGAGTGTCCCTTGAGCCCCACACCAAAATTGTGGCTTATTTAACACATAATTCTCTTACCGTCACTTAGACAAGTTCTCTTGTTCGGAGAACTTTAGATTCCCTTCAGAAGCGAGACGTTTATTTCTTTGGAATAATTATTAAATGGCGGATTCCAAACATCTTATTATACTTCAAAAAAAAATTAAATTTTTATTTTTAAAAAGTTATTGGACGTAGAAATTTATAATTTTGTAATAAAGTTGTATAATGAATACCCCAAACTATTACCAGAGTAACTCGTGCGAGTTGCTATTGCTAACGTAAAAGACTCGCTGCCCGCATTGCAATAAGATAGTTTCCCCATTTTATTGCACCCCACTACAGTATAGTCAGGCAGACTGTGAAGCATTTCATCTTAGTCCTCAGAGGTTACAATACATCCGTAAACTCCTTCTTTTGAAGTTAGTTCAAGGTTCTATTTTTTTTATAGGATAGGGTGACAAACGAGCACACAGTCCACCTGATGGTAAGTGGTTGCTGTGGCCCATAGACATCTACATCTATCCTCGATTACGAATCAAAATGCAGATGCGTTGTCACCCGTGAGGACTAAGATGGAATGCCTCGTTTCCAGTAAAAAGGGTCTCCGGTTCTCTGCACTCACCATACGAAATACAGCAGCATTAAGCTACTATTTCACGCTGGTATTCTGTGAGAGCGTGGTCCTTCCCCGGTCGAGCCGACCCATTCGTGCTACAACTATACTACTAATATAACTGCAGCATGGCTCTACCACGTAAAGTTCTATGGGCTGCTTTAGCCAGTCAGACTTGGTGGATTGTTAGTTTTTGTAATTCAATTCCTCTATCTTATGAGATAGGAATATCTGATATTTTAGGTTTGAATAATGTTATTTTGAAAGTTGTGTATGTACAAAGAGTATAATCACTAAGTTTACTACTAAAGTGCTACTAAAGTAACGACGTAAAACTTATCCGTTTTCCAAGAGTAACGACATGGGTAGTTTGAACTTTGAAAAAATCAAATTGACACAACGCAAAAGATTGTTATATCGCAAAAGTGTATTTTAAGACGTTATACAACGTATTACGTCTTAAAATATAAAAACTAAGAGGTTTTTGTTGTTATTTTTATTATTTTGTAAATAAAGTCCTTTTAACACCCACGAAGATCTACATGTCGTCTTGCAAAACAGGTATCACAAGGATATAACAGAATGCCAGTGATATTGGCCCGACAAGCAAAGTGAACGAGTACTCGTACCAGAATTACCTGAAAGTCCCAAAAACCACTCCTCCCCCCCCACCCACAAAACACACCAACCTTATTTTTTGATGGTATTTCCGCCCACAAAAAAAAATTTTTACGAAAAAAAATATAAAAAACAAAAACACCCTGTGCCCACAAAACATATATCTTTAAATGTTTTCCTCTTGAAAAAAGAGGGACACCAAAAAAAAACCTCTCCCCCCACCCAAACACAACACCACCCCCCCCTTCAACGGTCCCCCAAAAAAAAAAAGTTGTGTGTACTTTTTACTTTTTTACCGACTTCAAAAAGAAGGTAGTATTCAATTCAACTGTATGTTGTTTTTTATGTGTGTTACCTCAGAACTATAGAGTGTAGAAGTAAGGAGTGCCAGATCCCATAGTAGAATAGTTGAAAAGTGGCCATCTGTAAGCAGTAAATAACAGTTCAAAAACTCTCCACAACAGCGCTGGAGTAGCTACTGGGATGAAATGAACTTAGCAGTTGTCGACGGTTTGAAGTGTGCTGCTAAACTGCTCAGTAGCTCTAAAATCTAAAATAATTTTATTTAGTAAATATAACCTTGAAAATGTCGTCTATCCCATTAATATTACGTCCTTTAAATTTTAACCCGTTGATATAGTGGCGCCACCCTTATTTAACGGTTTTCTATGGACACTTTTTAATACACAGTCTGTACTCCTTACACTCCATACTCAGAACTCCTTTCTGGGTAAACCGATTTTGATGATTCTCTTTTTGTCTGAAAGCTGTTGCTTTCCGTGTGCACCCATATAAATTTAGTTAGTATATACTATAGTAGTAGACTGTAGTATATATAATGTAGTAGTAGTAGTTTTTAAGTTATCTTTAATAATGCCTATTTAATTGACTTTGGATACTATGATGTTCTCATTTCAATTATATTGAAGTCGGATACAAAATCTTTATAATTTTACCAATTGTTTACATTACCTTATCTTAAAGAAACTACCAAGATTTTCTTTTAACAAAATAGTTTCTCCCACTCTAGGAATTTTTCAGACATACTTAAATTACACGTCATTGACAAATAGTGACCGTTACCCTTACAGGCTATCAAAAGTTCACTGCAGAACACAGGCCCCTTTCATTCCTTTCACATGATATTTGCCATAGTTGCCACACTTGGCATGCGAGTTGGCAAACACTGTTTTTTATATTTTAGTCGTTATAAGGAAGACGCTGCTGCCCATCTCCTGCTTTTTGTCCCCCTGTCGCCACTTACGACACCCACCCACGGGACGATATTGAGTAGTAGATATTCGTAGACTGGCACTAGGCCGCAAGTCATCGGCAAAACTCCTGCGTTAATCGATGATGCTGTCAATAGCGCCGCAGCCAAACGGTCGGCACCGCGCTGCCGATATGCTGTCAGTTCTTTCTTTATAGGATAAGGTTGACGAACGAGCACACAGTCCATCTAATGGTAAGTAAATGCTGTGGCCCGTAGACATCTACATTTAACCTCGATTAAGAATCAAAACGCACATGCGTTATCACCCCTGAGGACTAAGATGGAATGCCTCGATTCCTGTAAAACGGGTCTCCGGTTCTCTACACTCACCATACAAAACCCAGCAGCATTAAGCTGCTATTTTACGCTGGTTCTATGAGAGCGTGGTTGAGCCGATACATTCATGCTAAAACCACAATATTGCTGCAGCGTGGCTTTACCACGTATA